TTTGGTTTCCTCATCCATAGTAGGCTTGGTCACCTGTATATTTCTCCTCAGTCTGTCCTAATCTTAGGAAACCTTCCATTACAACTCTTTCACAAGTTTTGTAGATCAATATTCTGCAGAGCTTTCGAAGACTGTAACAATAGGATTTGGCCTAATTTTGAAAGCTGGAAAGGAAGCAATACAGTGTGAGTTCTGAAGGTTAAGCAGGAATGGACTCTGCAAGTCTGAAAAAAAAGGATTATCCAACAGAAAGGTCCATCAACAGAGTCACCACATCAGATCAAATAGCGGGAGAACTTTAAACAGGAAATCATCTATTTATATATCAGCAGGATCTGGAGCAACAACTGGCAATCATAGATTTTTCAGAAAATATAGAGTGATTATGTGGTTATCATTCAATCATCTCAGCTCCATTTCCAAGGACTTGTTAGGCCTTCATTAACTTTTCTTATGATGATTTTAGGCTTGTCGTTCTTTAGCAAGAATTCCAAATACTGAGAGATCAGTACATCCCAATTTGCACTTATCCCTAGCACATAATTTGGTAACATTGGCTGAAATTAAATCATGATGAATATCTATGCACACACACACACACACACACACACACACACACACACATGAATCTTTCCTTCCATAGCTTCTTTTCAGAACCCAGAGTCCACTAAGGAAAACAACTTCTTTTCCCCCGACACCATTCTTACATATTTTTTTCTTCCTGGTTCTCAGTTAATCATATGTCACCATCAGATATAAGTGGGAGAAATACCATGTATATACATGCATGTTTTTGATATAGTGAAACATCCTTCCATTTTTAAACTTCTCTGAACCAGTATGCTTAGAACCAAACATATCTTCTTTTCAAGGGGACTTAGATGTGCGAGGTGTGGAAAATTTAAATAGACATGAACCAGAAGTCAGAAAATATGTTCTTGGAAGAGAATCTTGAAGATCTAACTGCATGAAGACATGTTTGAGCCTACTTTTGTTCCCTCCTCGCTTCTTCCTTCCTCTTGACAAGCCACCTTCCAGAAATTATACTCAGTAGCAGGCGTGTGAAGTTAGCGGGATATCACCCCTAATCTAAAGAATCTTGTGAAGAGTCAGGACTGAAAAAAAAATCATAAAAACGCAGCCACAATGCTTAGCAATCATTTCACAGAAGAGAAGAACTGGTTCTTTTTTTCTATAAGGGCTAGAAAAGCTTTTGTAGATAGCTCTTCTCTGGCTAAAGGATGGGAGAATGTGTAAAAGGTAAAGAAGTAGACTTAGGGGAAGGCGTTTGAAAAGGTACAGCTGTCCCAATTCAACATAGTCTATTCAGAGAATTATAAAATGTTCAACTAAGCAGAAATACAAACTACTGGAAGGAATTTAGAACATTTGATTTGATTTTTCATGCATGAAAACACTTATGAAAGGCTTTATGTGCTGCATAAAGAATATTAAATCAGGGCATACTGGTGGCAGTGTGAACCACAGCCAGTAGATGAGCTTCAAGTCCAGGAGACCAGTAATGAAAGTTTTATGTTATTTTCTAAGAAGTGGATAGTGAAAGTCTACACTAGATCAGGAAGCGTAAGGGAAGAATGAAATCTAATCTGATGAACACCTTTTCTCTGGGAATTATGGCATTAACTATCGACTTGGTAAAATGTTTTAGCTAGAGAAGTCTGCTCCCTAACGTGTCTTAGTGCAGCCATATCCAGTGATTGTGTGTATGTTGAAAGTGGGTATGAATTCTGCCTTCTTCACATTAGAATTATTCCAGATGCTATCCAGCTTCAGAGTTCCTTGAAGAGCCAGAAATATCCTTTGCTGAAGCAAGCCCAGCTCCTTTTCTGTTCAAACATATATCTTTGTCATTTACCCATGTTGATTGCCATGGTATTTCCAGCGACTAGTGACCTTCCTCTAAGAATTTAACTTATGACATTGTGGGACAGAGGACTAATAGATTTGGAAACTTATGTAATAGAAAAGGGGTGCCCAGAATCATTGTTACAGTCTTTGAGATGGAAATGCAGGTTGGGGTTGGTGTAAATGAGAAGGCAACAAATCCAGGAATTAAACCCTTGATGGCCTGTGAGGAAGCCAGCATGCATTATTCACTGGAGGGCTGATTTTGTCACCCAGAAGTGTAAAAAGATGTGATGACTAATGATGAAAAAACTTGAAGGGAACATGTAACAGTCAGAAAATAATTAAATGGAATGGTTAGTAGCTTCTGAGAGAATCTCAGTTATATATGAAACTACTGTTGAAGCTTGCTTAGAAAGCAAGAACAAAATCCATGAGAATGTTCTTTTATAAAGAGATCAGTTCAATCATTCAGAGCATACAAGGGAGACTGGAGAAAAGAGTGGCACTCTTTTCAGATGAAAACAAGTAGAAAACACAACCAGTTGGGTCCTCCCTCTCTGAACAAAATCCAGTCAACTCTTTTGCTGGAGTGATTGAAGCTTGTGGAGAAAGACAACAAAGGACTTGCTAGAGCTTTTGACTTGATTCCAAGGCATACTTCCACTTTATTCTCTCGAAGTCCTTGATCAAATACTGTGTACATGAGTCTCAGTTGGCTTCCAGAAGAAACCCTGCTGCAGGGGCACAATGGGGCTAATCAAGTGACAATACTGAAAGGGGCATCTCTATGTTCCTATTTATTCCCATAATAGGCAGATGTATGATATTTTTAATTCAGAAAATGCAGATAACAACAAAAATATAACTTCTCTTATAAACTAAAATTGTCCTTGTTGCAGCTCAAAGTGTGGGGCCCTAGATGAATAATTGTTTTTGTAGAGCAAACTCTTGAATGTCTAACTTCTTAGGCAGGTACAGTGATAATTAAACTGATTTATAGGTAAAATCTAAAAATCAAGACAGTTTGTTCTTAATATACAAACAAGTAGGCATGGAGCTTAAGTGTGGGGTTGAGCTTAGAGGAACTGAGATGAAGAAATGGAACACTGGACATGGAGGCTGTTAGTGAGATCATAGTTCAGTGGGGAAAGTTGCAATGCACATGGCAACAGTAGAAAAAGCTATGAAAAAAATCACAATATATTTGAGCTGATTAAGAAAAATCATTAAACTACTCAGGTCAGGAAAGCAGAACAGTACCTTTCTCATCATTGGAGAAACTTCTTCCTAAAGTAAATGGTTGTAACTACAGGAGCCCACAGCAGACATTGTGGACAAAGTGAAAGACCTTGGAACACTCAGCCCAAAATGGGATGTTTCCATCAAATCCCTCCCCAAAGGGCTTAGGGAACTCTGTGGAAGAGAAGACAGACAGAGAGTAAGAACAGAGGGGATGGAGGACACCAAGAAAAAAAGGCTGTTTAAATCGGCATAGTCAAAGCACATATGAACTCACAGAGACTGAGGCAACATGCACAGGACTGGCATGGTTCTGCACAAGGTCCTTTGTTTATTTATTACAGTTTCCAGTTTAGTGTTTTCAGATTTGGTCTGAAATCAGGGGATTCCAGAGTTGGTCTCTGTTTCATGTGTTTCTGTTGGGCTCTTTTCCTTCTGTTTGCTTGTCTTGTTCAATTCCAATGTGTTGTTCTTTTAAAGATATTATATTTTATTTTATTATTTGAAGAATTATTAAATATTGTTAAATATTTGAGTTCACTATTCTGAAAGACTGTTGCTGGATCACCCTTCTTTTTCCTGGAACCTCACTATGGAATTACCTTCTTACAAAAAGGAAACAATGGGGTTTCAGAATCACAATGTTGTCTGCAGACATCCAAAGTCACACTTAAATGTGACTCACTGAATTAAGACTATCCAAAATCCTAAGTATCCCACATCTTACATTAAGACAAGCTTCTGACCTCTGAGAAAATTACTGACCCATCTGCCTATCTTTTGGTGTAGTTATCAGGTGGCCCAGAAGCACTGTGCAAATAAGTGCAGGCACCAATGCAAAGGGATGTCTGATTATAGCAGGCATTGTTTAGAGATAAAACATTTATCTTCCTCCTTCTGAGAAAGATAAGCATCCTTTGTACTCATCAAAGATGCTTCCTTTGTGAATGCCATTGATATGAAGGAACTAAGAGATCAGACACAGTCCTTGTCCTGGGTCTTGTCAATGCCAATACATTCAGTCATAATTCTTAGTATGAGAACATTCAAGAGTAGGGCTCTTACATGCCTTTCTGATCTTGTTCTGTGGGATCTGAGTAATATCAGAATTCATAGGGCCTTTTGGAAAAATAAGAAAGAAATGAAAATAGAGCTGAAGAAGGTCTGTATTCTATGGTACAAAGAAGAGGCCTAATCCCAGTCTGAAAAGTTCAAAGATTTCTCCATTTATTTTCCAAACTTAGTTGTTCCCAAGAAACAAAAAACCCCACACATCTGAGTAGTATGGATCCCATGGCAAGGATGATTGTTAAATATTTGAGTTCACTATTCTGAAAGACTGTTGCTGGATCACCCGTCTTTTTCCTGGAACCTCACTATGGAATTACCTTCTTACAGAAAGGAAACAATGGGGTTTCAGAATCACAACATTGTCTGCAGACACCCAAAGTGACACTTAAATGTGACTCTTTAGGCAGGATGAAGGTGTTTCCAGCTCTAAATCTCTGGGGAGTTAGGACATGAAAACAGGAAAGGGAAAATGTTAACACTCAAGGTAGATCCCTCCTCTATACTGAGCCTGAGAGGCGCTTGCAGATACAACCCTATATCAGAAAACTTTTACACCTATATTTAACTCAAGAAGAAGAAGACCTTTTGGCTTGCATTTTACAAATGCTCTTGGTGGTCACAGAGGCTTATTTTTTTAAATTTTTTTTTATTGAGAATAGGAGAAAAAAGTTTCCGCCTTCCCCCAGCCTCCCATTTCCCTCCCCCTCCCCCACTCCTCTCCCCCTCCCCCCACTCTTCTCCCCCTCCCCCCACTGCTCTCCCCCTCCCTCTCCAATCCAAAGAGCAGTCATGGTTCCCTGCCCTGTGGAAAGTCCAAGGACCTCCCCCCTCCGTCCATGTCTAGGAAGGTGAACATCCAAACTGGCTAGGCTCCCACCAAGCCGGAACATGAAGTAGGATCAAAACCCCTTGCCATTGACCTTGGCTTCTCATCAGTCCTCATTGTTCACCATGAGACTCCTAGAATCCTCCTGAAACATTCCATCTCAAATACATTCAGCCACTGTTCTGAGGTTTTGGAATTGTAAGGAAGGCAGATATCTTTCTTTTTTTTTAAATATTTATATATTTATTTATTATGTATACAGTGTGTGTATGTCTGCAGGCCAGAAGAGGGCACCAGACCTCATTCCAGATGGTTGTGAGCCACCATGTGGTTGCTGGGAATTGAACTCAGGACCTTTGGAAGAGCAGGCAGTGCTCTTAACCACTGAGCCATCTCTCCAGCCCCGGCAGATATCTTTCATATCACCATAGAACCTTCATCTGGTGATGGATGGAGATAGAGACAGAGACCCACACTGGAGCACTGTACTGAGCTCCCAAGGTCCCAATGAGGAGCGGATGGAGGGAGAATACGACCAAGGATGTCAGGACCACAGGGGGTGCACCCACCCACTGAGACAGTGGGGCTGATCTATTGGGAGCTCACCAAGGCCAGCTGGACTGTGACTGAAAAAGCATGGGATGTCGTTTATTGTTATCACTTTTGGTCAACTATAGATTTCTGCATGGATCAAACTGAAGTAAAATGCTCTTCTGATGAAGGCTGAACATAGCTATGGTATATAGAGGATTATGGGTATGAACCATCTCAGTCTTCTTGATGTTTACTTTCATACCACAGTTTTTATAAGCAAAGAAACTTACTTCCACCACTCTGCTTATCCTGACCTGCAACTCATTTGGACTTTCAGTAATTAGTGCTGTATCATGGGTGAAATATAAGCTATTGATTCACACAACACCTATCTTCATACCTATATCCTCTCCTCCAGGGTTGTTGCTGCTATTAATTCCACACATGGGAGGGGTGCGCAAGGATTTTAGCATTGCAATAAAGAATTCGAACCTCAATCAAGCAGTCAATTTGTCTATCTGAAAGGAAACCACAGTTCAAAAAAGGGAACTATTTCAGACGTGAAGAGGTAGATAGGGAGAGCCAGGTCTGCATTCCAGGCACTAGAAAAGGTCTGATCAACAAGAAACATAATGACAACAACAAAGTTGCAAGTATATGAGACACTTGTCTTTATCTGCCTTCCTTACAATTCCAAAACCTCAGAACAGTGGCTGAATGTATTTGAGATGGAATGTTTCAGGAAGATTCTAGGAGTCTCATGAAGAGATAGGCTGTGCAATGATGACATTAAGGAACATCTACAGAAGGAAGTAAATTATGGGATACAGCAATGATGCTTGAGATACTTCAGCAGTGTTTATGAGAATGAATGATGGCAGACACCCAAAGATAACACCACTTGGAAAAGTGTATGAAATAAGGTGAAGGGGAAGACGCCCCCCCAAAAAAAAACCCCACTGGTTTGACAGCATAAAGGAAGCCTATGGAACCTTGGGTATAGCAATAACACAACTGCCATAAATGGGCTGCCCATGTATGCTTAAGCTTTTCTGGGGCATACATGATGTTGTTGATGATGGGTATAAACTGTGGGCATAAACATGAGTACCTAGAAGACAGTATAAGAACATGGCCATTAGAAAACAACCTATCAAGTTCTCTATGGAGCCACTGACTCCCACAACCACAGGCTTTTGAACAAGTTTACAGAAACAGGTGTGAGTTCTTTTCAGTGGACCAGGTCTCAAATCCAATCAGAAAACAACTGGTTGAACCAATAACAGCCATGTCATAATTACACTAGTCACTGTTTATTCTAGCCACTATTACAACTCACAGGATTCAGAGCTGGGTAAGAATTCTATGACTAACCCTCCCCAGGACCCTTCACAGAAACCTTTGGAATAAGAAAGTCTGGAAGAGGTCACAGATCAGTTTTAGCTTTAATTATCTTGTCCTGTGACCACTGTGCATGGTGACTTCAACAATAGGGTATCACCAGCAAGTTCTGGTGGGAAACGAAGAGAAACTACAATGTTGCTTTTGGGGGAATCTTTTTGACCATAAACTCATAGGGCAGAGGGGTTTTCCACAAGTGGCAGTAGAATTTTCATGGCCCGGGGCATCTAGGAAGCACATTATTTATCCATGAAAGCCACATCTTGTTTATTTTTGGTTTTAGATTACAATTTCAATAAAATTACAAACTAGTAGGTTTCCATATGGCTTTTTAAATGTATTATTAGAAATGGCTACATCTCTGTCTTCTACCCTCCTCTTTCTTATCCTCCTCCCCATTTCTTTTTAACCTATCCACTCAGAGTATTTCCATATCTTCATTTTTATTAATTTCAAAATTTCAAACTTATTGAAAGTGACCAAATTGCTCAAGCTTTGTAATTACCAACTCTTGGACTGTCTGCTGTATCTATCCTTGATACAATTTTATTTCTTCTGTACTATTTTGATTAGTTTCTTCTTTATTCACGAGCACCCAAGCACATT